TTCCTGCTGGAGCTCTCTGGCCTGTGGCACTTCTGCTGACTGCACTGGTCACAGAAGCGATCCGAGAAATTCTGTGCTGACTGGCATTAAGCATTGTCTCCCCAGTGCCTGTCTGTCCCCCCGCGACAGTGAGGAGGAGCATGCTGGAAGAAGAACGTGCTCCTCCTGAAAATGTCACTGTCAGCAAAGGGACAACCTCAGGGTTCCCTCAGTACCCGCTCAGCTTTTTCAGAGTTCAAAGTGACCAAGACTGGGAGGGTTTTTTAGCACTGAAGTGCATTTTTGATGGAAGAGGTGGCAATTCTAACAAATTTCAGCTCCTGCGTCCTGGCTGTGACTATCCCACCCTTGAGCGTCCCGGAGCACCGTGGTGGGTGGAGGGCCAGCAGTAAGGCTCTCTGGAAATGTCAGAAGGTAGGAGTTTAATCAGCTTGCTGTTAATCTTAACAATTACATGCCTGTTACCTTGGGTTTACCCAGGAAATCTTTTGAATCCAGCTGTTCAACTTCCTTCTTTCGTGGTCTGAAAAATTCCCCAGGAGGAACCTGCATGGGCTCTAAAAAGAGATGGTTCTAGGGCAGGGAAAGCAGATAAGGGAAAAGCCACCAATTAACGTTAAATGAAACACAACAGTGGTGAAAAGCAAATAGAGCTTCCCTACGTGTGCATGAGCTGCTCCAGGAAGACACCAGGGTAAAAATTATGGCTGTGAACTTGAAAAAGGTCACTTAGGTTTAACATGCGAAGTCAGAGCTCAGCAGCCACTACCCAGCGCTGAGTCAAAGACTAACTGATGGCACGGGATGGGTGGGAAGGGAGGGCAGTGGGTAAGATCTATTAAATGAACCTAAGCAGTTTTTCTATTGGACTTCAAATGTTGTTTTTTATTCCTCTGTTCAACCACTGAGTAGCATGCTAACAGCAAAAGATAAACACACTAATGTAAAGCACAAACACAATGCTAGATTTTTCTATAGTTATAATCTCTTAGAAAAGATACAAAAGGAAGTACGGAGGTAGCAAAGTAACGAACCCTCCAGGAACAGCAAATCAGAGATCTGCAAGTTGTTCCTGATCATAAAAGAGTCTAACAGGAAGCTGTTATTTAGAACCAACCCTGGAAACACTTTTACACTCTAGTTAAGCTCTAAATGTGATTGTCATTAATACCTGAGCTGCCACCAATTGCTACGGAGGCCAAAGGGGCTCAAAAAAGTTAACTAGCGTCACGAAAAGGGACATCCTCCAAATCTGCACTTAAACACTGCACCAGGCAACTTGTTTTACAGTAAAGTGCTAACAACTAAGCTCCTGAACAGCCGGGACTAGGAAGCAATCTCCCCAACCTGCGAGGCTACCCCATAATTCTGTGCTATAGGGTTCCTGTGCTATGAAGCAGCTGTGGCTGATGGATTAGCTGAAGCACTAGCTCGGTAGAGCATCACATGCCAATGGCTTAGCCTCTGTCCCCACGTGACCAAGCAGGCGGGTAGGCAGGAAAACCCAAAGATACAACAGTCAGCACATGCTTATCTTGTATTTCTTAACTTAAGCCCAACACACATGCCCAGGAGCACAGAGAGGTGGTCTTACCTGCACGCGCTCGAGGGCCAGCTCCAGGATTGCTGTTCTGCCTTCAGGTCTCCATACCACAGCCTTGTCCAGGGTGGCTCTGGCCTCCTGCCACTGCTGCAGCCGGCACTGCGCCACGGCTGTGCTGTACAGCACCTGGGGTGGGCAAGGAGCGAGCTGAACTCAGGGGGCTGAGACCAAGCAGACACCCAGCACGACTCACTGAGCTCAGCCAGGACACCAGGACCAGGCACTGACACAGGGCAGACACAGCAGCAGCACCAAACTGCTCCCCGCTGGCTGCAGGAAAGGCACTCTGAGCAGCACAGCTGAAAAAAACTTCCTAATCAGAGTGGAAAGAGGTAAAAGCTGTACCCAGGGTAGTTCTGGGGGTGCTGGAGTAGCTAGGTCTGCTCAAGGCAAGGAGAGGTGTGGGGAACACTTCTCCCTGCTCCTGAAAGGCCAGGAAGGATTTTCTTGGGTTTCCTTCTGCATGCAACTAGGTAGTGTTTTCTGCTCTGCCGATTAACCCTGACTCCCTTTCACGGCACAAGAACTGAAACTTTCACACTGTAGTGGGCTGTGAATGTGCAAGTTGTCAGCGGTAGCTTGTAACCCCTCAGCAGCACCTAAGTATGTTCAGCGGTGGAGTGTGGGAGGGTTGCAGGCTGGGTGTTGGGATGCCTCGATCTAGATGCTGAATTAAGAGTGGGAGATCTTCTCTTCTTGTCACTGCCCAGCACTCAGCATATGTAAAAGCTGCTGGCCCCCGAGGCAGAAGTGTGGTGTAACTGTCTCACTGACAGATAGCTTGCTATTTTATATGCTGGGGTCATCAGCTGGGAAATTGCTTTGTGGTATCTGGAAGTAAGCAGTGCTTGGGGCAGAGGCACAGCTAATATGATCATAGAATCCCAGAAGGGTTTGGGTTGGAAGGGACCTTAAAGCCCATCCAGTGCCACCCCCTGCCATGGGCAGGGACACCTCCCACTAGCCCAGGTTGCCCAAAGCCTCATCCAGCCTGGCCTTGAACCCCTCCAGGGATGGGGCATCCACAGCTTCTCTGGGCAACCTGGGCCACTGCCTCACCCCCCGCACAGGAAAACATTTCTTCCCAATATCTCATCTCCATCTCCCCTCTTCCAGCTTAAACCTGTTCCCCCTCATCCTGTCCCTGCACCCCCTGATCCAGAGCCCCCCCATCTCTCCTGTAGCCCCCTTTCAGCACTGGAAGGGGCTGGGAGTTTTTTTCGGACCCTTCTCTTCCCCAGGCTGCACACCCCCAACTCTCTCAGCCTGTCCCCGTATGGGAGCTGCTCCAGCCTCTGACCATCTCCGTTGCCCGGTGCTTTTCCTTTACTCCTTAACCACGGCAGCAGAAGGCTGCTGTTTGGGGGCGGTGGGGAATGGCAATTCTAACCATCTACAGGAACTACAGAGATGGTCCCTCTTGGAGAGTCAAGGCAGCAGCTCTCCCTCCGCTCAGAGGTGCTCTAGCCTCACAAGGGGCAAATAGTTCTGGATTTTCAAAGCGTACGGTGTATCTCCCTAGAGAAGATCAGATGCAGTGTGTGAGAGGCCGTGCATGGGAAAACCTGACCGCACAGTTCTGCAGCAGGATTATATTTGTGTATCTTGAAAAATGAGCTGCAGGCAGAGGTAAGAGGGAGGTACAGGGGAATCAGGCTGCAGGTCCCAAGTCAGGAGTGCCAGCAGGGAGAGCACACGTCCTGGCAGCGACTGGAGTGTGTGGGGTGGGGGCTGCGTGTTCCCCCAGGAGGGGTCCCAGCCTCCCTGGGATGGCCACGGGGCACTCCCGCAGCCCTGCGCCTTTCAAAGGGAACCTCTTGTTTCTGAGCATGTGAGCTCAGAGAAGCAGTGCTGTGGCACTGAAACTGTTAAAAACAATGTGGTTTGGGTAATTCCACAGATGCCAAGGATAGCTGCTTCCTGCCAGGTATAAGGTGCATGAAAATTGACCGAGAGAGACTGAAGGACGGGTTTCTGGGCACGCTCGACTTGAGTTACACAATGACTCCTTGCTCTTGAGGAAGTAAAAAATGAATTTCCTTGTATCTGCATGTGTGGACTCAGAACAGAAAACAAAATGAACCCTCCCACTAAAGTACAGTTTCTAGGAGTCTTTCACATTTCAAATATTACCAATATTTACAATCAATTCAGACAGATGGTTTTGTACAGGATGTGCCAGGTTGACTCCGTGTAACAGAGTAAGAGCTGCAGCGTGAAGCGTTACAGAAGCAAAACACAGTGGGTAAGGTAAAACAGTGGGAAAGGTGAAACACAGAGGTGATGTTAGGACCAGCTGCTGCAGTTGGAAAGAGCCTTTCATGCACTTAAAGTTTCTTAGTCTTCATTATGGACCAATTTTATTCCCATCTGTCTATACTTCAACCTACTGCAGCTTCTAGAGCTGAGGAGTTTACAAAACTTAGATGCAGATTTACATGCATGTAAGCATCAATATTACATGCAGAGTTAAGCTAAAACCTCCCAATAGACAAATTCCTGTGCATCTGCTGAATAATTTCACTTTTCAAACTGTGTAAGTTGCTAAACTCTTCCAAGATGGCATTGTTTCATTACTTTTATGATTAAGTTCCTTAAAAAAAAAAGTGCAAGCAGATTTTTTTACTGTTCTAATGTACTGTCTTGAACAGCTCTTGGGTTACTACCAGTGATGAACACCTGATGAATACCCCCAGCAGAGGGAAAGACTGCCGAGACAGGTTGACTCTTACCTCCCATGCGTAGAGGATGTGCCTCAGCCCCAGCTGCTTATAGTCGATGAAGGGATTTTTTCTTAGATGCTTGAAGGCCAGGTGATAGTCAGAGAGAGCTTCTTCGTACCTACAATGCAGAGATGACAGAAGAAACTGAGACTAAAAAAGCTGAAGACTCTAAGTAAGAAGTTCAAAAGTCAAGCTAGCAAAACCCACGTGTTCTTCTCTGCAGCCTGGACGAGAAGAGCTGCACCAGGGACGTGGGACAGAAAATTCCCTGGCCTCTCCTTGCTGGTTGTTAGTACAGCACGACTGTGGTGTGTCCGGGACTATCTGCCCAGGCTTACTGGCTGGGATGAACAGTAGGGCTTGATACCTATAATAGTTGCAGCTCCAAGGAGGAGAAAATGTCCAGAACAGAGATTAACACACGCTGTGAGCCCCCTGCCCAGCTTGCTGCTGGCGGTGTTGTCCCAGCAGAGGTCTCGGGGGAGAAGCGAGGGCAGGGAAACCCCTGCGGATGGTGCGTGGCCAGAGCAATGCAAGCGGAAATTCAGAGAAACTCCAAGGTAAGGAGGGAATTAGTCTGAATTCACACCAGCTATGCAACCAAAATCAAAACAGGTTCCCACGGAGGCTGCAGGGGGTGAAATGGAGGGTCCAGGGCAGCAGTCACCCGACCGAAGGCAGCGAGCCCGGCCAAGAGCAGGCGCCTGGGTGGATGTGGGTGGGTGGGAGCAGCATCTGAGGAGGGCAGCAGCCCTGGGGTGGGGGCAGCTGTCACCTCCTGGGGCAGGGGACATGTCTGCTGGCTGTGCTGCCCTGACCCGCTGCCCAGTGTGTGTGCTCGGGGCAGGCTCTGCTTCTGCCGGCCGTGGCACCGGGAGCAGAGCGGAGCAGCTCCACCGCGCCGGCTGGGACTCTGTGACCCCGACTGCAGCTCTGTTGGCAACGGCACAGAGCGTGTGGCTGCTGTGAGCGCAGAACTGCTTGCTTGGATTCCCTCCCAGAAATAAAGATATTCATTCTGTGGAAATTAAGGTCTGGAGGATATGGAAGAAATAACAGGAAAGAGAATAACTGGAATTTGGAGGTGAGAAAGGACCTGTAAAATCTTCCCCCCACCTCTGTGAGCAGGGTGTCACTGCGATTTACCCCTGGAAACAAGGAGTAATCAATCCCATGGCACTAGTGGAGCAATCCCGATATTAAATCAGGGAGATCGAGATCAGGCACATAAAATCCACTGTCAGCAGAGCGTGAGAGTCGGACACTGTGGGCAGGCTGCGTTTTTTTTGCCCAGACTCATGTACCATGTGAAGACATACCAAGTGGTGCAATTATGTTTTTTTTAATTCCCAAAGAAAATCTGAATGGCAACATAACCTCCTGGCAGCCCCACATACAGCAGCAGCTTCTTTCTCTCTGTGTACAGGTCAGTAATGTCAGGTGTGAGCCACCCCGGAGTCATGCAGCTTGACTCTTCTCAGTATTAGCAGAGAGAAGACCTGCTGAGCTGTGACAGGGATTACAAGGACAAACTGGACTTTATGAACTGTTGAAGATTGCTGGAAGAAGTGAATTTTAGGAATAAAGTATGACCAAAGGGAAAAAACCTTTAGAATGAAATGGGCCTATGCCTCACTTACATTTCCAGCTGCATATGGACAAACCCTCTCTGAAAGAAGCCAACGGCCAGGGAGTTGTCCTTCGCAACAGTTTTATCGAATGCCTGAGGAAACAAACACAGACACATCCCATGGATCAGCTGAGCTATCTCCTGTGGATGCCTGGCACCCAGCCAGCCATGTCCGAGCTGCACTCGCGCTGGGCACCGAAACCATGAGCAGCCCCTCCAGAGCGGCAGTCCCGGCTGAGGGGCAGGAGACAGCTCCGAGCCATCAATCAGGTCTTGGCTCTGCGGGAGCTGAGCTTCAGGTTTCTAATCTTCCTTGGGAAAATGGCTGGATGTAACAAATAAGCTATGTTTTCCATCCAGCATCTTGTAATGGGAAAAACGCGTTGCCTGGAGCAGAGTTTGCCCTGACAGCGGGAGCAGCAGGACCGGCCAGGCAGGGGAAGGATGTTTGAAACCTCCTGCAGCAATGAGTATGTGACCGGTGCGAGGGAGGTAGCTGGAGTGCTTCACACTGCACCTAAAGTCAATATTTCTGGTCCAGTTTCCCAGCTAAATACAGACAAGTATTAGCAAAGCTGGTAGCAGCTCGTGGCTGATGGTTTAAATAACGCTGTGCCAGAAAAAATGTCTTGCTGTCCTTCTGGGAAGGCGAGGAGGTGTGCTCCCTCGTGTGCAAAGAGATGGTAAGTAGATAAGGAATCAAGCCTGAAACTCTGGACTTTCCCCATACTGCCTAGACAAGGAGACAAGGACAGCGTTGCAGGGGGGAAATCTGCTGCAGGCGGTCAGGGAGTGACTGTGCCTCTCAGCAAGGTGGCAGCTGGCTTCTCCTGTGACCCCAACAGCACGCCTTGCTGTAACAATCCACTTTACTGTGCTAGAAAAGAGAAAAAATACACAACCAACTGTTGGCCTGTGCAGCTGACCTTCTTCCCAGCTGATGCCCACTCATCCAAGCTAAAAAGTCTCCTCTGGGCACCATCATGCTCTGCTTACTGGTGTCCCTTAGAGCACCTGGCTCTGCCCTGGCCCCTCCAGCACAGCCTGAGCTCTTCCTGCCGCTACTTGAGACATGGTTTATCCCTCTCCTCACTGGGCAGCTGATGGACAGACAGACAGACATGCAGATATGCCAGGTGCTGTAATAAAAAGGCTTTTCCTCGGGGCGCTTGCCTGCATACACCAGTGCGGGCAGCTGCTCTCCCTTTCCAAAGGGCAGCAGGGCTCCAGCACGGCGGTTTCTTTTTGGCGGGACTGTCAGGGGACACCTGTGGCTGCAGGGCTCCTTGTTTGGATCCATCACCGTTCCTGATGTGCGGAATAGGAAATGCTGAAGTTGAATTTCATCAAAATTCCTTCAAAAATCAAAATGGGAAAGCCATGCTGCCCATTTGTGGTCAGAGGCTGGAGCAGCTCCCGTGC